AGTCATGTTGGTAGGTGTAGACTACCTGATTGGGATCCGCGAAATGTTAGCAACCGATGGTTAGAGACCTTGAATGACATGGCTCAAAATCATTTGCAATGACGCAGGTGCATTCGCTCTTTGTGTTCTCCCAAATTCCAATCTGAATTCTTCATGTCCCTTTCTTCCCTTTCTAAATTGATTTCACTGGATTATACTCCTTGAATAACATCTTCAAACCCTAATGTTTCCGATGACTGCTTATACTCGTACTACCTCCACAACTATAGGATTTGAATCGACAACTGCATCTGTGTGCTAAGGTGGTATGGAAACTCGAACTGATGTACGTACGTGCGAAGTTCTATGTTGTTACTAACTGACTGACTAGGTTTCAAATTGCTTATTGTATATAAACAGTATGCCATCTGATTCATTAAATTGAAGTTACTTACGTCATAGGTACAGTCTTTTATTATAGGGATAGGACTTCATTTTCTATACCAACTAACAAGTTTTCACTCATGCATTTGTACGCTTTTGTTTGGCTTATTGATGTCGGAATCCCGAGTTTGCTTGTCCTTTTTCAGTTAATCAAGAATAAATGTTACATTGTTTATCTGCTCATACTACAATAGAATTCTTCTTTTAGTCGTCATTTTTCTCCCAACCTTCCAAGTTGTGGGGAGATAAGGGGGGCTAAATCTTATAAAGTCTTTTTTCACTGCAACAATGACTATCAAAGCAAAATTTAGGGTGAAAAGCTATAGCATTAGTTTAGTCTTCTATCAACTCATTTTCAAATAAATGCGTCCTTCGAAGTATGTTTTCCATATCTTGGATGTTAATACTCATTAGTGCCTACATCTCACTTTCATCTGATAAAAAAGGATACAGTTTCCAAGCTTGTCATATAATTTGAGAACAAATTAAAAAGTGTGGGCAACCGGGAAGTGATAACCGCCCTCATACCTCTAACAGCACCCAAGACCACTGTATTCATAATCAACCTTCCTCTTCAATTCCTATTATTCCTCCTACATCGACTTTCAACCCTAAACTTCCTCCTCAAGTGTCACCATAGCCAACGATCCTAGTGCTCAAAACTCTGTCCCAGGTCTACTGAAACCTCGCTCCAAACTACACATTGGAGCTTTCGACGTACGCACCCTATGTCAAATCGGTCAGCAGGCTTCCTTGGCTAAAACCCTAGAGTCTCTTTCCATTGATGTATGCTGTGTCTCCGAAACACGCATACAGGATTCCAGTGTGGTCATTCACTTGACCTCACCTCGGCAAAACGGAGAGCCAACGAGATACACCCTACGTGTATCTGGTGACCCGATGGTCAGTTCTCGTGGACTGGCAGGTGTAGGCATAGCACTAAGCATGAGGGCGGAACAAGCACTGCTAGAGTGGATCCCCGTCAACAGTCGTCTATGTGCTGTTCGGCTAAACGGCTCCGTGAGAAGTCGGAAGGATAGAGAAACACGTCGTTGCCTTTCCGTCGTTTCTGCCTACGCTCCCACTGACTGCAGCTCAGATGATGTGAAAGATGAATTTTACAGAAAGCTGTCCGAACTTCTTCAGAAAGCTAAACGCTCAGACATAGTACTCGTAGGGGGTGACTTTAATGCTCAGGTAGGTAGCTTAAACCAAACAGAAAGGCATTTAGGTGGATATTTTAGCATTCCAGCACAGCGAACAGATAATGGTGACCGTCTGCTGCAACTGTGCTCAGACAATCGCTTATTTTTAGCAAACACAAATTTTAAGCATAAAGAGAGACATCGTCTAACGTGGCGACCGCCTGCACCAAACCAACAATGGACTCAAATAGACCATATTGCCATCAGTCATCGTTGGAGAGGGTCGGTAGAAGATTGTCGCTCATTCTGGAGTACCTGCTTGGACTCCGACCACGCCCTAATACGGGCACGCATCTGCTTGCGCCTCACTGGACGCAAAAAAAGCCACACTAAAAAGACCCATTAGAACCGAACTGAGTAGCGAGGAAACCAAAAGTAGGTTCCAGGGTCAACTGAGGTCACGACTAGGTAGTTCTGAAGACGAGGCTGACCCAGATGTTGCTTGGAATGAAATACAAGTAGCTGTGGAAGCAGCAGTGACATCTATTAGCGACTTAAACCACAGAGTTTCAAAGAACCAGTGGATTTCTTCAAAGTCTATCACACTGATGGATTCTCGCAAACTCGTCCCATCAGGTCCTGAACATGATGAAGAGCGACAACAAATCAGATCTAGGTTAAGAAAAAGTCTAAGAAACGACCGTGAGCAGTGGTGGGCAACGAAAGCAAAAGAGATGGAGAAGGCGGCGACTATAGGGAACACAAGACAGCTTTACAGACTAATAAAAGAAACTGGGATTAATAAGTCAAGTGTAAGTGAGATTATATCGGAAAAAGACGATACACTCATCTGCTCCCAGTCCAGGCGTTTAGAACGATGGGCGGAACATTTCAGAGAACAGTTCAACTGGCCTTCAGCTACTCTACAACTACCCTCCATTTCCAGACAGTGTGAATAGAACATTGAAGTAGGTCCCCCAACTCTAGCTGAAGTTCAAAAGGCTATAGTTAATCTGAAACGAGGAAGGGCAGCTGGTCCAGATGGATTGGCTCCAGAGGTCTTTAAGGATGGTGGTCCAGTTTTAGCGATTAGGTTGACTAATATTTTAGCTAAAATCTGGGAGTTAGACGTTATTCCATCTAACTGGTCACAATCACTTATCGTCCCAATATATAAGAAAGGGTCAAAATCATCTTGTGACAAACAGAGGGATTAGTTTAACTAATATAATATCTAAAATACTAGCCTCGATAATTATCAGACGCCTAACTAAGACTCGTGAACTGCAAACACGAGAGAACCAAGCTGGCTTTAGACCTGGTCGTGGCTGCATCGACCACACATTCACCATTCGTCAGATTCTAGAACACAGGCATACTTATCGGCGTCCGACAATGGTGGTCTTTCTCGACTTAAAAGCAGCATTTGACTCTGTAGACCGCGAGATTCTGTGGCAGTGTCTGTCACTGAAAGGCGTACCTCAGAAGTACATAAACCTTGTAAAGGCTCTTTACTCGAACACTACTAGTCGAGTCAGAGCTTATGGCGAACTGTCATCTACTTTTGCAACTTCAAGTGGTGTCCGTCAAGGCTGCCCACTTTCCCCATTTTTGTTTAACTTCATCATAGATCTACTGATGGAAATAACTTTCTCGTCGACTGAGTTCTCGTGTATTGATCTCCTACCAGGGGGTCCACTTCTCGAATTAGAATACGCAGATGACATAGTCCTGTTTAGTGAAGACGCTGACAAAATGCAGAGTCTTCTGGTAGCACTGAGCAACAATGCCAGGATGTTTGGAATGCGCTTCTCTCCCTCTAAATGCAAGTTGTTGCTTCAGGACTGGTCTGCGTTAACACCTGAACTAAGGATAGGGAGTGAAGTAGTCGAACGCGTTGACAACTGCACTTATCTTGGAAGTCTGATCAGCCCTAATGGGCTGGTATCGGACGAAATCTCAGCACGGATTCGAAAAGCTCGATTGGCTTTTGCCAACTTGCGTCACCTATGGCAGAGGCGAGATATCCGTCTATCAATAAAAGGACGAGTATACTGCGCGGCAGTCCGTTCTGTTTTAATTTACGGCAGCGAAACATGGCCACTAAGAGTAGAAGACACTCGTAAGCTATTAGTATTTGACCACAGATGCCTTAGAAATATTGCTGGCGTCTGTTTGGATCACCAGGTAAGTAATAGTGAGGTTAGACGCAGGGTATTAGGGAATGATGGTAAATCAGTTGATGAGGTTATGAATCTTCATCGATTGAGATGGTTGGGCCACGTGTTACGTATGCCTGAACACCGATTAACACGACGTGCAATGCTAACCGGTGTCGGGGATGGTTGGAAGAAAGTTATGGGCGGCCAAACCAAAACGTGACATCAGTACTTGAAGTCACTAACTTGTAGTCTGAGCCATGTTGGTAGATGCAGACTACTTGGTTGGGGTCCGCTTGACTGTCGTAACCAATGGTTGGAGACTCTTGGTGACATGGCTCAGAATCGATCACAATGGCGTCGGTGTGTACACTCCCTGTCTTCCCTTAAACTAAGAGATTAAAATTACTTCATATCTTTCTTTCTACGAACCAATTCTTTCTTCTTGTACTATATCTCTATATGTAATCTTTCTCTTACATATTACTACCTTTGACCTAACCACTGCTATGAATCCGGTGTTCATCTTGTTGTGCTGATGCGGTATGGCAACCTGGACCGATGCACATATGTGCCTGGTCCTACGTTGTAGCTGACTGACTGACTCTTATGTTACCGCATCATTGATAAAAAGGAGATTTAGAGGCACAACGGGACGAGTAGGGGAATAACCTACATTTTGGTTACCATGGTATGTAAGCTACTATCTCATAAATAGAAATCACTATATGCGACTAAAGGTTAACCGCTGAAGGCAGTAACAGGAAATTAAGTAAACTCGTCTGCTGAAAGCGATAGTAAAGATGAAGTGTAGTCAGGATTCGAGCTCACTCTGGTAACATAAATGTAACTATATTTTAGAATGGAATTTTTACGTTGGAAAGTTGATAAAATCATTCAAAATCCTAAAACACTCAGGTTGACACAGAAAATATTTACAGCCGTCAAAGCACCACCACCCTACTTCTTTTTATCCCTAAAACAATCTCTAATGGTTACACCACTAGTCATTGATTACATAAGTTCCAGTTTCAAACACTCCCCTCCCTCTGGCTTGAGCAGCCATTTAGTGTTACTATCCTCACACAAATAGTGTAGCTCAAAACCAAGTTTGTAAACATGACAAGTTACGAATAGTTCATCCTGTACACATTAGTTAAGGTGTGTCATTATGTAAGTAAAATACCACATATGTATATTGTTTTTCGACTCTAGTGCTTTTGTTATTGTTTATTTATTGATGCAAAGTGATTTACTGTTTTCTATTTCCAAGGTATACTTGATCTCTGTGGGCCTAAACAGGTAGCTAAACTATCAGGCAATGATTGGGTTTCACCAATAGAGGATCAGTTACAAGTTGGTCTCTCTCACGTCTTTGATTATATTCGGTCAGAGACATACAAATTGTAAGTTTCAAAATATTGAGATATATTTGGACTGCGAACTGTCCATCACTTTTGTGTTTATTGTGTTTGTAAAAATTTTCTTTCTGTAAATTTTTTTGACAAGTCACACTAACTTATTGTACAATTATAGTAAAAATGGCTTTAAAAGAAAAACAAGAACAATCCTAACTTTGTTATTTTTTCTGGGGGCTGATCTATACACAAATATACACAGATTTAAGTAATTATATGTGAAAATTATATTTGAAATAATCTCAGCAATTGAAATTTAAATAATCCTAACGTTTCGTCGAACGAGCTTGTCTGGAAGAAACGGGATTATTTAAATTTCAATTGCTGAGATTATTTCAAATATAATTTTCACATATAATGACTTCTCTATACTCGGCACCTAATTTTCATCAAACTTTTCGTTCTAATATTGACTAATATTCGTATATATTTAAGTAACGTATAGTTTATCATTAATTACATATCTGCTATTTTTAGGATTTCTAGTACTCAGCCACTTTTGTTTACCAAAACATACTCCATAATCTCATTCTCTACCTGTTATTATTATTATTATTATTATTATTATTATTATTATTTGGACACATGAATATTGGTACAGGAGAGCGCCAATATATATGCGCCACACAAAACAATAAAAATTCGAGAGGAATACAAAGAAGGAAAAATAAAAGCTAAGGAGCGCAACAAAAAAAGAGAGAACAATAACGAAGAGACTGGTGTAAGGTAATGTGCTAGTAATCAGGGAACGCAAAGGTACAATCGGAAGAAATCTTTCAGGTAAGGGAGACAGAACCACTTTTTATGAAGAAAGTAAAAGAAGGTTACAGCAGGATCGCCACTGGCTTCTATTCTGAGCCATATCTGATAACGTCTCTAGCCACTGTGTAGCACCATCTCTCAGACCCCAACCAGGGAGTCGTGAAGGACCAACACAAGCCAGTCCTTTGCAGCTTTCTTTCATGCCACGACACTATGTCATGCACTGACCACCTCTCCGCTTCTTCCAACCAGTCCCAGAGTCGGCAAATAATGCACGACGTGGAATTCTCTGGGACGACATTCGTAGAACATGTCCAAGCCAACGAAGTCGGTGTTTCAAGATGGTGACACCAATTGAATTATCATCTCTGTGCCCGAACACACGATGCCGAACCTCTGCATTACTGACATGGTGTTGCCACTGAATGTCAGCAATCCTTCGGAGACAGCGATGATCGAACACAGAGAGTCGTCTAACGTCCTCAACTCGGAGAGACCAGGTTTCACAAGCATAGAGCAAAACTGCTCTCACCGACGCGTTGTAGATCCGACTTTTTACGGCCAGACTAACATCACGAAGGCGCCATAGATGGCCCAGATTGGCATAAGCCGCTCTGGCTTTCACTATTCGTGCATTGATCTCATCACTCACACCCCCACCAGCACTTATGCAGCTACCAAGATACACGAACTTCTCGACTACGTCTATCTGCTCACCATCCAGGGTGAGTACAGGATTGGAATCCTGCCAGTCTTGTAGGAGTACTTTGCACTTCGAAGGTGCAAAGCACATACCATACCTACGGACACTGATTGCCAACTGATTAAGTGCGGATTGCATGCCTTGGGCATTATCGCACAGTAAGACAATATCGTCCGCATACTCAAGGTCGAGAAGTCTTTCTCCAGGCAACAGATCCACACCACCATTACTTACATTCATCAGAGCTGTTTCCAGAATGTCATCGATGGCAAAGTTGAAGAGGAATGGTGAGATTGGGCAACCCTGCCTAACCCCACTGCTCGAATGGAACAATGGAGAGAGGTGGTTGTATGCCCTCACTCTGCCTGAGGTGTTTTTATATAGGGCTTTTAGGATGTTAATAAACTTCTCAGGCACACCCTTCTTCAATAGACAATCCCAGAGAACAGTTCTGTCCAACGAATCGAAGGCAGCCCTGATGTCAAGAAACACTACGATTGTTGGCCTTTGATAAGTATGGCGGTGTTCTAACATTTGGTGGAGGGTGAAGATATGATCAATACATCCTCGACCAGAACGAAACCCAGCCTGCTCCTCGCGAGTCAATCTTTCTCGGGTTTTGAACAACCTACGAAGTATGACGGAAGCCAATAGCTTGGACGCAATCGGAAGTAGACTTATCCCCCGATATTTGTTACAGGAACGACGTGAACACTTTTTAAAGATAGGGACAACTATCGACTCATTCCATGACGTTGGCACACTCTCTAGTTCCCAAACCTTTGTAAACAACGTCGTCAATTCCTTAGTCAAAAAGTCACCACCATCTTTAAAAAGAGCCGGAGGTAAGTCATCTGGGCCAGGTGGTTTGTAACGCTTCAAGAGTTGGAGTTCCTTGCGGACTTCCTCCTCGTTTGGTGGATGTCGTCACCGGCCATGGAGGGCAGGATAGTCTAACCGATGTTGCCGGAGCAGCAGGCCAGTTGAACTGCCCTTCGAAGAATTCTGCCCACCGTCCAAGACGTCGATGGATGTTAGTGATTGGCATCCCATCATCCTCGCAGATTGTTTCACTCACACCAGACTTCTTGTTGCCAGTGGCTCGGATGAGCTGGAAGAGCTTCCGGTAGTTACCAGATGCAGCTGCTGCTTCCAGCTCATTAGCACGCATCGACCACCAGGCTTCTCGGTCCTTACGCAAGCTTTGTCCGATTTCCTTATATAACATCCTTCGTTTATGGTCAAACTCACGGTCACCCGGAGTAGACCGACGGGCTTCAATGAGTTGTAAGGAACCAGAAGAAACCCAGTGCTTAAAAGCGGGACGTTTCGCAAACCCACAACTGACTGTTCCCGCCATTTTCATGGCGTCATGCAATTGCAACCAATGCTCATCTATACTTTTCGGTGGAGTGGTAGCTAGCCTAGAGGCTAGCTCGGTTCGATACTTATTTGCAACAGAAGTTGCAACCAGCTTGCTAACATCAATCTTTTGGTGGTGGTCACTTCGTTGGCCACTGAAAAGTAAGGCAAGATTGGCGCAGACCAAGGCATGGTCAGAGTCCAGATAGGTACTCCAAAAGGAGCGGCAGTCTTTTACACAACCACGCCAGCGGTAGCTGATCGCGATGTGATCAATCTGAGTCCAGGCTTGAGATGCAGAGGGAGGACGCCAGGTGGCACATCGGCGATGACTGAGCCGAAAGTTAGTGCTAGCCAGAAACAGGTTGTGGTCTGTGCACAGTTGCAGTAGACGGTCCCCGTTATCTGACCTGCGACCAACGAGTCCCCATCGGCCACCTAAACGACTCTCTTCTGTGCCTAGACGCCCGACCTGAGCATTCAAGTCTCCGGCTAGTACTACAATATCTGTAGAACGCACTTTCTGGAGAAGAACAGATAATTGGTGGTAAAACTCATCCTTGATTGCATCCGGGCTGCAATCTGTCGGGGCATAGGCGGAGATGACGAAAAGACATCGTTTCTCACGCCGATTTCTTCTCACTTTGATGGAACTTTCTAATCTAACAGCACATAACCGACTGTTAATGGGGATCCAATCGACTAGTGCTGCCTCAGCTCTAGCGCTTAGTGCGACACCAACGCCTGCAAGACCAGACGAAGATGCCACAGGGTCCCCGGATAAACGTACGTAAAACAAGCCTTTTGAAGTGACAGATGGAGAGCGAATTTGTAGTACTTCGCTAGAGTTTTGAATACGGGTCTCGGATAGACAACAAACATCAATATTAAGACTTTCCAAAGACATAGCCAGCCCTATCTGTTGACCAACCTGCATAAATGTGCGAACGTTGAAGGCAGCCAGTTTGAATGGTGCACGTGGTTTCAGAAAAACTGCTTCAGTACTCATATTCGATGGTAACATGCAATTTTCAACCGGACAGTGACTCGAGAACGTTTAGATACAGTCGGATTTCCACCAAAGCCGAGCCGCTGTATAAGTATGAAAGAGGGTGAATAATGTGGGAAATAATAATAATAATAATAATAATAATAATAATAATAATAATAATAATAACAATAATAGTATTAATAATGACAATAATAGTAATGATAATTATTTGAATCGACTGATTGTTTTTGTTTTTCGGAGCGATAAAAGTAGTTACCAAAGACATAGAGTTCATCGTTTGTGTGTGGGCTGTGATACTGCCCGGGTGCCCAAACCGAAGCAGGTGGTTTTCTTAGGGGGCCACACCCCGAGCCTTTGACCTAAAGGTCTAACCCACAAGGCAGTGGAGCATCGTAAGGAGATGCAATCCCATGGTAGCCGGTGACCAAAGATTGGTTCATACGCCATTTGTTCCCGCAGGATACTGGAGCCCATGTGCACCATTGGTTTGTGATCCGGTTAAAGCGCCGAACATTCGCTTTTCGTCCTCTCATTTTTGTAAACAACACCCCCGCCACGAGAAGGCAATGAGTAGGACCTGTTACCTTCAACCATCTAGTATTCAAATTATACAATTGTTCAACGGTTATATCTACGTGTTTTATCACTAGATTTTAATGCGTCAGTAAAGTATTAAAATACATTTAACACATAAGTCATGAGATGGGACAAGTTAGTGGATTGCGATAATCTTTACAACTATTGTAGAATTTCTGTTGGGGTTTTTGGAGATTCTTCAATTTTACAGTTAATATCACAGAAAGATTTTATTTAAAAAAACACTGTGAACGGGAAGGCACTGGACAGCTGTTTAATCCTCGTATGGGATTCGTCAGGATTGCACATTCATAGTCCTGCTACCAGGGATTGAACCCAGGACCTCGAGTCTAGCTCGAACGCCTAACCTCTATACCACTAAGCCGGCATTCTACGGTTTACATTTTTAACTTTAACTGTGGAATTACTCAGTCATCCACACGCACTCAAAAACAAGCTTAGAATTAACCTCAGTAAGATTTTACCTCGGAGTAGTACGTTTCTAAGAATAATATCCACAGATTGGTTACATACATAACGTTTCTGTTTATATGTACAATTAATGGAAAACTTTAATCAAAAGTTTTCATGTTACCATATAATGAGTGTACATTGATGGACCAGCTAGTTTCCGTATTCCACTCTGTACTTTAGTACACACTGGCCACCATATGAGTTACACATCAATCTATATACGAGTTATTTTTTAGAATTTTTATTTTAGACAGTCGGTAACTTGTTAAAATAGTTCTCACACTACTATCAGTACCAAGAAAGGTTTTCATCAGATTGTTGTTAAACCGAATAAAAGACTCAGTAGATGCCCAGCTTCGAGATTAACAATCCGAATCCCGTAAGGATCTGTCGTGCACAGACCAAATTGCGACACTACAGATGATCGTTAGGAAATCAACTGGATGGAACTCATCACTATACATAAGCTTCTTTGACTATGAGAAAGCATTTGACAGTGTGGACAAGACGACTTTATGGAAATTTCTTCGACACTATGGTGTACCTGAGAAAATCATCAACATCATTCGGAATTCACACGACGGGTTACGCTGCAAAGGGTGCATGGAGGACGGTTGCATTTCATGTAAGGACCGGAGTCAGACAAGGCTGCTTACTCCCCCTTTCTCTTTCTTGCAGTGGTTGACTGGATTATGAAGACCTCGACGTCTGAGGGTAAGCACGGGATACAATGGACATTTTGGATGCAACTGGGCTAGTTGGACTTGACAGATGTCTTAGTTCTTCTATCCCATACACACAAACATATGCAGGTCAAAACGGCCCTACCGTAGCTGCTACCTTGACGTGGTGGTCAGGCTTGCCTATCATAAAGAACCAATCGAGCTATACTGGCTGAAACAATCACTCCTCAAGGTCCTACCACGCCAGACAGGTCAGTTGAAGAGCAGTAAGACTAAGAGCACCAAACCAAAGGTTCGAGGGCGAAGTTGTACTGCTGTCTATGCATAGGTATGAAGGCAGTTAGGTGTTTCCTTCAGACAGACAGCATAATAGCGATGCTGCCTTCCCACAAGGAAGAGTGGGGTTGGAAAAGGTCGGCCCTAAAAATGCACACCTTACCTTATCTCACGGATTTCCATTTTCGGCGATAAGGTCCCACCAAGTACGGAGCTAACACGAAAATTACTCACAAAAAGGCTGTGTGGCCGGCCTCAAGCAGTTGTCCCTTGGGTACTGCAGTCACGCTCTCAGGTCACTAAGACCACCTCTAACCGAATTTCCTTTGTGGTACCTCTAGAAGAACCGTTCTATGGTGTGGGTAACCGAGAAGTGAAAATCGCCCTCATACCTTTAGGAGCTCTCAAGATCACTGTATTCATAATCAATCTTCCTCTTTCTTTTATATATTACCACCTCTGCATTAACTACTTTTATGAATCCGGTGTCCATCTTGTTGTGTTAATGAGGTATGGCAACTTGGTCCGATGCATAAATGTGCCTGGTCCTACGTTGTAGCTGACTGACTGACTGACTCAATTCCTATTATTCCTCCTAACTCGACTTCCAACTCTTCACTTCCTCTTTTGACTTCCTCCGCAAGTGTCACCATGACCAACAATTCTAGTGCGCGAAATACTGTCCCAAGTCTACTAAAATGTCGCTCCAAACTACACTTGGGAGCCCTCAACGTACGCACCTTATGTCTCTTCTCTCAGTCTACACCTTTGAAACGATGGGCGGAACACTAAGGAGCGGTTCAGCTGGCTTTCAGTTACTCTACAACTACCCACCATTCCCAAACAGCCTGAATGGAACATTGAACTAATTCTTTCTCCCTGTATTATATCCTTATATGCAATCTTTTTTCTATATATTACTACGATTAATGTAGCTACTTCTATGAATTTGGTGTTCATCTTGTTGTGCTAATGAGGTATGGCAACTTGGACCAATGCACATATGTGCCTGGTCCTATATTGTAGCTGACCGACGGGTCAAGACAACCAGTGCAGCAGTAGCATCTACAGCAGTAGGCCTCAACATGCACAAGGGAAAAAGCAAGATACCAAAATCCAACACGGAGAACACCAATCCAATCACACTTGATATAGAAACTCTGAAAGAGGTGAAACTTTTACGTGCTTAGCCACAGCACCGGTTACTTCATGTGGTGTTTGTCAAGGTTGTTCGCTTTTCCCATCTTTATTTGACTTTGTCATAGATATACTTTTAGAGATAACACTCACCGTTTGACTTTTCAGGAATTGATCTCCCAGGAGATACACTCATTGACTTGGAGTACGCAGATGAAATAGTTTTGTTTGGTGAAGAAGCTGACAAAATGCAGATTCTTCTGACCACCTTAAGCAATAATGCAAGGATGTTCGGGATGTGGTTCACTCCCTCCTAGTGTAAAATATTACTTCACGATTTGTTTACGTTATCACCTGAATTAATGATAGAGAATGAAGTAGTCGAACGCACCAACCATTCCACTTATTCTGGGAGTCTCATGAGTAGTGATGGTCTGTTGTCTGATGAAATCTCTGGACCGGTTCAGAAGGCGCTATTAGCTTTTGTCAACTTGCTTCACTTGTGGCTTGGGAGAGTGATACGTCTGCCAACCAAAGTGGGGAGTGTACTGCATAGCATTTCGTTCCGTTTTACTTTATTAATTTGAAAACCATTTAGAATAGAGGATAATCGTAGGTCACTGGTATTCGACCACAGGTATCTACGAGGCGTTGCTCGTATACTTTGAGACCATGGAGTAAACAATGTCAGGGTTAGGAGTAGAGTACTAGGTAAAGATGAGAAATTGATTGATGAGGTGGTAAATTTTCATCAACTGTGGTGGTTTGGACATGTGTTAAATATGCCCAACCATAACCCAACTCGACGGGGAATGTTTTCTGGCGTAGGACTAGGCTGGATTAAAGTTAGGGGCGGTCAAATCAAAACGTCATATCAGTCCATAAAGTCAATGACAGTCGGACTAAATAATGTTAACAAATGTAGACGACCTTGTTAGGACCCGGTTAATTATCATAACCAATGGTTATAGACTTTGGACGACAAGTCTCAAAATCGTTTGCAATGACTCAACTGCATCTATTCTTTGTCTTCCCTCAAATTCTGAATTTCCCAGCTTTTGTTTTATTTCTCCTCTTTGAATTTTCTTGAATCTTATTTTCGATACCTAATCTTTCCTGTTATCAATGATACGGTCACTTGCTCTATTGTTCTGGGATTCTGCCTGACATTTTCATCTCCCTGTTTTAATTGGGCCTGGTAACTTGAACCGATTTACATACGTACTGCGTTCTACTTTGTGACTGGTTAACTGACTGACTGGAATAGGTAGAAATTTTTATGTGCCTGGGTAGCATCATCGATAAACAAGGAGGATCTGATGCAGATGTGAATGGATGGTTTGGTAAAGCAAGGACAAGATTCCTTTAATTGCAAGACATGTAAATCAAAACAACTCTTAGTAAATATCAGAGTTAGAAATTTCAATGCGAACTTCAAGACGGTTCTTTTGTACGGAGCTGAAACGTGGAGAACAACTACAATCATAATCAAAAATGTACAGGTATTTATAAACAGTTGTCTACTCAAGATACTCAATATCCGTCTACCGGATAACATCAAAAACCTATTGTGAAAGAGAACAAAACAACTTCCAGCTCAAGAAGAAGTTAGGAAAAGACGCTGTAGGTGGGTAGGACATTGTGCAAATAATCAAACTGCATCACGAGGTGAGCGCTAACTTGAAATCCTAAAGGGAAAAGATAAGGAGGTAGATCAAAGAACGCAGTGCACTGTGAATAAGAGGCAGACATCAAAAGATTGAATAACACTTGAAAACAGCTAGAAAGGAGAGCCGAAGACAGAGTTGGTTGTAGAATCCTGATTGGCGACCTATGCTTCATGAGGAGTAACAGGTGTTAGTAATGTACATCAGAGTCTTCATTATCGACATGATATTTCTTAACTCTTAATAAAATCATTCTGTCTAAAAACAGTTTAAGTTTCTTTAAACATTAGACTCTCATTTTCATGAGATATTTGCTGTTTCTGTATGACGTAGTTGTATTTCACTTCGGTGTCTTCAGTATGTATAATACCAAGACCGAAAGGCGACACCGACTTTTTATGTGTCACAACTGCTTATAATATAGATCATTTGAAAACAATAAATATTGGATTAATGAAAGCAGATAAACCATTGTAGTAATTTAAAGTCTGAAAATTATGTGAGAATCTGTTTGATGTTTTGTGTTGGATACCCACGTCTAGTCAACAAGAAGCCGTCAACCCACTGTTAATGTTTGTCTAATCAATCAATCGTAAGCAAGTTGGAATCTGGCACATGTGTACATTGGTTCCCATTACCATACCCCATCAACATTAATAGGTAAAATTCTCAGGACAAATTTCACAGTAGTAAAGTATTGACAGAATTAGTGGTATTAAAAAATATAGATAATATGGCTCGAGAAGATTAATTTAGCCATATAAAAATATAAGATAATTTTTGAACACGCAATCTAGAAGAAAGGAGGCCAAGTGCATCTGGGCCATTGCGACCAATTATAAGGGATAATACCCATTGTCTTCGACGATTCGTTATGATAATCGCACAGACTCTAATAAGATAGTCTTCACCTACAAAAAGTGCTCATTTCAATAGACCATGTTTGTCACTACTTGTGAGAGACGTATACAGTCAATCTTTAAAAAATTTAAACTTTGTATGTGTTATAGCTTACAGGTAAGATTCGTATTTCATTAATTCTTTGATAAAATTATCAGTTAAATATAACTATTATCAACATCAAATCAATTACATTTATGTATATGTATATATCTTAACTAGCTTATACCAACGACACATAGCAGCTGATAATAAACCAAGACCAATAGCTGATAAATCCAAAAAAATCAGTCGCAAAGTTCAGTGAAGCTTAATCTTGTTTGGCACCTAGAACCAACTAGTAATACCTTCTTTAGGCTTAAATATGCTAATCGATTAGCTTTTTTCTCCGTGCAAAATGTTCTAATAATATGTTTTTAACAAATGTAAATCAAGACCACGTAATTTGTTTAAACAAGTGCTTTTTTCTATCATTATTTAATTACTTTTTCATGAATACATTTGTTTGAAATATAAAGTCAACTCAACTTCTTTATAACAAGGATATTAAGCCTCTCTTAAACATGTTCTATTTATTGTAGTTTATTGTCTCTTTATAACAGTTCTTATTTTTTATTTACCAAGTTAATCTTTTTTTGTGTATGGCGAATATTTCTTTGTTCTAATTATTTCGCAAAATGCAATGTTTTGTTGTCTTTATCCAGTTGCTTTTTAATTCTCTTCATTAATTTCAGCCTGTTATTCATTATAGGTATATTTGGGTTTTTGTTCTATAAAATTTAATACAATATTTACAGTGGAACAAGGTTACCTTTTTTTAAAAAGTCTTCCAATGGTAAGGGATCAACAACTGCCCAATCTTCGAGGACACTCTAAAGTAAAACAATTTTTGTATATTGAAATAAGATTTCATTTTACTGGTAGCGACAAACAACTAACTCAAAACTTAACCGAAAATCTTAAGATAACACGAAACGTGACATTGTTGTCCAACGTTCTAAGAAGGGTCACCACTAGGAAAAATAGCTGACTGATGAATGACTCTAGAATAACTTGGAGAAATACAATAAGGAATAAATAATGGAATACTAAACTAATCAACACTGTACATCAAAATAATCTGTTTTTAATACAGATGAATACAAAACTGGTACTTTACCTTTTTCTACTAAGCTTGGAATTAGAAAATGAACTCCCTAGGTAATTATATATTTTTAACACGACTATTTCTGTTTGGTTCATTCTGTTAGACTGTAGGATCCTTGTTAGTTCTAGTGTAGCTTATTGCAGATGGTATAAAATAAAATCTAAAACTCCCAAATATCTGATCCCTTATCTGTTGTAGCCAAACTTCACTTTTACAAAAAAATGAATTTCGTTAATATCTCGTACAAATTATTTGGTTAAGTAAATTATCGAAAGCGGATAAACCATAATGAAGGTTTGTAAATATACAAAGTATGCTGGGTGGAAAAATATTTATCAGATAGTCATTTTGTACATTTTATTTCATTTTGTCTATTTGTGGACCTTAACTCCGATTGGATACAATTTATTTGACTTTAAGACAAATTAAAGAGAAGATTTACATTTCTAATTAAACATTAAGTACCTTTTCCCAATTGTTGCCAAATAAATCTCATGGTAAGTTTCACATTTAATTAAATTCATTTTAACTGAGATTTCTTTATTCAGAAGTGATCACATATTCATTATCAGGAGGTTTAAAGTAATTCAAAGCTTAAATGTAGTTTTACTTTGTTCATATCTGAATTTGAAAATTAACTAAATTCTAATGGGAAATGGTCCAAATGTTTCCGATCATACATGTGTGAATTTAATTTTAATGGTAAACTGAGGAAGAATAATCCTGAATATGTACTGATAAAGTGTATTCACATCCTATGTTTCATTGCTAATTTGGAAGGTTAAAGGGAAAATTATTCCTGTGATAACGCTAATACTTACTCGAATGGACGTTTTCAACTGAGTTTCAACTTCTGGCGTAAGAGGCATATCTTCCACAACCCACCAATATCCGTAGGAGCCGCACATAACAGGGAACGAAAATGCAATCCCTTCCGGTACGCCATACCAGCCTGAAAGCGAGCAAACAGCTATTTAATGGACACAGCTCTATAAATACGTAAGAAATGAGTTGTAATATCTACGTCAAAGCGGGCTGTTCAGTGTAGTTTGAAACTTCCTAGGCATAGCTAGAGGATCTTGATATACTGTTTAACAATTAGCATTACGGTAATTGAACAGCATCTTTCTGTTATATCTGGATTTTATTTTTGAGATATGAACGTTCTGAAAATTGCTTCGATCATGTTATATTGATCATTTTTGAGGTTTAGTACACTAAAGCTTTTACAGACTGGATTTTCTCTATATCATGCCATTTTTATTTCCTTATCTACATTTAAAGTCTTTTCCCTTTTACTTGTACATATAAATCAACGCTTCGCCCTAAGTTTTTAGTTTACTAACATGTGATGGATTTGCGAAACAAGTCTGTATTTGTACATACTGTGTATGATACTAGATAATGACGATTAAATAAATCATCCTAGTTTTGTTGTCTGCCTTTATACTTTGATTAACCGTGAAATCATACATCTGATTGACTGCAAAGGTTCTGTGGATTGCATTGTCGCCTATCTGATTTTTGGGTTATTAGTTATCTGATTTCAATTTTAATGGTACTCTTGTTCTCATTACTTTAACGAGTATGTAATCTTGATAAAATTTCAGCGGCGATTATTAATTAGAATCCATCAGTATAAATTGTATATAAGTATTTTCACAAATAGAGTCATAATGGTCGTTTTAACGCTTTTGAAATAATTTTAGAGTGCTCACTTCTACTTGTAGACACGAAGCTTCACAATCAAATCATCCTAATAAGAGAATCCAAAACCGTCAATATCATTCATCTGAGCAACAAATATCCTCCATCACCTCACTATCCATAATAGCCTAATATGACAGTAATTTGCTGCATATTTAACATACTTAGTGTAGGGCATCCGTAGTCTGATACCATTTTTCATCAGTAGAAATTAACTGCACCTGGTAATTTATCCTCATGCCTAAAGTTATTTGTGATATGACGAGTAATAACTTAATAAGTTAGAATGTGAATGACATGAAATTAGTTTTTTCTAATATTGTGTGACATGTATTCACATCTTAAGAAGTATCATAGATGATTAATTGTATAATATTTTAAATATATGCTCACACATTAACTTATTAAATTACTATTGCTCAATACAGCTTAGTTCGATTGTTCAACTGTTAATATAGCTTCAAATAAGCCATATAAAATGTGATGTATTCCTAAGTCATTTAGATTTATTTCGGGAGTTAAATAATTTCTTACCACCAATCTTCGCACCTTTCCTCGTGTTCAGGTTGCCGTGTAGATTTTTTCCTGGGGTTATTAAAAGAGGCTAGGAAATCTAATCGACCATTCCTTTAAAAGATTTATCAATTTGGTGCATGAAGTACCTTACTGTCCCTAGTTTGTGTAGCCCTGAAAGAACGCTGACAAATAGTGTAAAATTCCACAAAGTCATGTCGTTTCAAACTGTTATACTCAAATATCATAACGGAATAAACCAGAATAGATTAATGAACAGTGATGACGTAGTGTCCCAGTTGTACAGTTCAAACTGCTTTAGAGTATGTTTATCTTCTGATGGATAGTTAAATATCACGTCATTATCATAAGTTGTTAGGCTATCACTGCTATTATAATCGTCATGAAATTTTGTCCGGGACCACCTATTCGGGGTCGCTGCAATCCCGCAAACAATGACACCACGAAAATAAAACCAAACAGTCACATTGATGTATCAGTTTTTGATATCACCCAACAGGTTTTGTATCAAAAATACTATACAGTCTCGCATATGATTACGTTTCCAGTTTTTAAAGGTCACTCATAGATATACAAGAATAAGTAATCAAATGGTTTTCTGTCTGTCTATATATAGTGACTAGTAATTTGAATCTAGTTTGCTTTCCTATATGGTGTGATACATACAGTGAAATATTTCAAGCTTTCGTTCCCAAACATGGAGTTTGTTGGACAGCTTACTAAGAGAATGAGAATCGGTTGATTCTTAATATTCATATTTCCTTGTCTTTATGTATAATTCAGTTTAACTAATATCCGAATGTTATGGTCATTAAATGATAGACCAATTAAAGTTGAGAAGGAGCTAGTTATTAAAAGTCAAAAAGATGGTTTTTTATTTACCTCTTGATATCATAACAAGTGAAGTAGTTTGGTTAGGTTGGCTTTGGTTACTGTTCCAGCATTCTTTTAAGCACTCAGCCATAGCATTTTCGTAGAGTAGTCCTATATACTCAGATTTTCTAGTGCTGTTTTCTTTCTTTAGTTCATTCAGTAGTTCTTTGTGTAACCACTGTGGGTTCTCAGCTACACTCAAGGCTGGAAGCCGAATGTGGCTTCCGCCGACGACACCCGCATCAAAGTGTCTTCTGCAAGATACACAAGAACGAGATAAATCTAAAAATACTGAACTCCCCAAGTTCCCCCAAATTACGACATCAGTGACATCATATGTGTGGACTTTCAGGTGTCTAGCCACAGCAGCTTTTACTTTCAATTCAAGTGGCTTTACTAGACCAACTATTTGTTCTGGCGGTATCTTTCCTTTCGTTCTTCTGTGAAGTGTTGTCACGTCAAAACATATAGGCGTGGTCATTTCCATGAGAAATGTGTCTGCTTCTATGTTTCCAGCTAATAGGACTCTGACAGATTTCGGACACTTTTCTTTCATTTTTTGTCCAAGTTTGTCAAAATATAAAAAACGTCGTATTAACCACTCACTTCTTGGTTCCCACTCATCTTGTATCCTGATGTCTGAAAAACTAGGACGTTTTCTTGGGATAACATCTAGAATGACGACTTGCTTTGCGTGTGTCAGACATTCATCAACATCGTCACTAATGTGTACTCTACTAAGTTTAGGAAAAGCTGCTTCCTCGAGCACTTCTCTCAGTTCGAACAATTTATTTTTATTTTTGACTTCATCACTTAAGTACAACTCTATCATCTCATCACCGAAAACCTTCCCATTTAATATACTAGCCAGAAAATCACCAGTACCAAGTCCAGCTGCACCAATAACTACCACATTTGATGGGGATGGTGTGTTAATGATCTTCATTTGTTGCTCTTGATCTTCTTGGATCTTATATTTGATGTTGTTCTTCATGATATTCAACATTTCATCCGTACGTATTGAGATTTGTTCACCGTAATAAGCA